ATTACCACTGTAGTGTACCCACCACCAACTCACCCATATTCCAACATCATTCCACTACACCTACTAATGAATTTAAACAAAATTAAGTGATCAGATTACATCAACTTGGCAATTCTGAAGATATAGAAGATGAAAAACAGAGGGAAATCAAAGAGAAATCACAGATTTTTAGCTTGGGGGGCTGATATCTAGCTATTTTAGTAATGAAAGCATATAGAAATAAAGTATTTAGTACCAAAAAATTTGAATCAGTTTTCCAATGAAAGCTGGTTATATATGATGTAATCAACTTGGAAATTGTAGTACAGGATTTTTTGAGTCAGATTCGCCTCTTTCCACAACTGTGATCACATGACCTAAACCATGAAACTGAGCTACCACTTAGTCTGATTCATGAAATAACATCCTAAAAATAAACCCTGAAGTAGCTAACATGAAATTTTGGCAAATGGCTGTTAATGGAGATCTAAAAACCCATTATCTGGTAACTTACCCATATATTTTTTTCCTGATAAAAACAGACCAACCCATAGGTAGGTCTTAATTACATTTAAAAGGTCTCTCTGAAAAATTTCCCTTCTTGTTAAAATGCTCTGAAATTCTTTTAGCTTATTCCCATGAAAATAAGAAAAAAATCAATGGTTAAATGATACTGCAAATCAAAACTAATTTATTAGATTTAATGGGAAATTTTGAAAAATTTATATCACATATGTAGTAGCTAAGCTACCTGAAAAAGAATTCTACTAGATTTACAACCTTAATAATAAATCTAACTTGTTTGGTGTTTCCAAGTATTTATACCATGCATTATTCTTTTGAATTGTTAGCTTATTCTTTCAATGTTCTCACTCCAGACATACTTCCAGGTCTTCCTCCCTTTAATGTGCAGTTTTTTTATCTATTGTCACTTATCAAAATCTTTCAACAAAATATAGAAATCTTATTCAGTCTTATAATTGAATAAGACATAAGTGAAACTCTGTACAATCCTTGGAACGCAAAATAAAAATTAACCTTTTTTCTTTTCTATTATTTTTTAATATTTTTTAAACATCATTCTTCATTTTTAAACAATATTTGCTTCCCCCCACCCCCTCAGGTGTCATCCCCATAGGGTTTCCTTCCCCAATGCACCCGTGCACCATCACCTCAGTCCCCTAAGCTCCTCCCTCCCTCCCTCTGATCCCTCTCCCACCTCCTCCCCTGCAGTATGCCTTGGAACTCTAAATAAAAATTAACCATTTTTGAACTAAAACAAATAAATAAGTAAAAAAAAGAAACCAAAAGAAACCAAATAAACCAAAGCGTCAGTGGCTATTATTTCTCCCTGAAGGTATTTGTGTTTTATACGTTTTGGAATAAATGTTGAAATAAGATTGTTTGGAAGATCCTGAAGAATGAAATTCAGGAAATGTGGAAGAGATGAGAGATTGTCAACTTGAAATATCATAAAGTGAGGAAGCTGGGAAAAGGAAATATCATAAAGTGAGGAAGCTGGGAAAAGGAATTTAGTAAATAAGGTAAAAGTTTGGGGAAGAAGCGTCTTTCCAGGATTTGGAAATCATATCACACCGGGAGCTATTTATTCTCACATTTTATAAGGCTATCAGTTGGCCAAATTGTCAGCTTTCTTTGTATTTATGTTATCTTAGCTCAGGTCATCTGAAATTAACTATGAAACATAAACTAGTGAAGTTATTAATTATGAAATTAATAACGTGGACATACCTTTATTGACAGTTGGTGGGAGTATTAGCACTTCTTTTTTATTCTTATGACATATTCTTAGATAATAGTCAGTTTCCAGTATAAGCTGGAACAAATAAGTGATGTGCTATTAGATATGGGCAGAGGGAAATTTAATGTATAATACATATTTAAAATATTAACTTACATCCTGGCAGCCCCTTCCAGCCCCCAAACCAGTGAGATACCAGATGCAAAATGGAAGGGTGCCATAGGAGTCAGAGGACTTGAGACCTTTTAGGGGATCCCGCCAGTGCCTATCTGGAACAACAGAGGTCTTGTGACTTCCCACAAGATCCACACCAACACCTGAACAGACTGATGCACTTACAATAAAAATAATATCTCACACCTGTAAGATTAACCCATATTAAAAAAAAAAACAACACAAACAAGTGCTGCTGAGGATATGGAGAGAAAGGAACACTATTCCATTGTTGGTGGGAATGTAGACTAATCCAACTTCTATGGAAAAAAGTGTGGAGATTCCTCAAGAGACTAAAAGTGGATTTACCATATGACCCAGCAATTCCATTCCGAGATATCTGTCCAAAGAGCACAAAAATGCTAGTTCTAAAGGAAACCCGCACACTTATGTTTATAGCAGCACTATCTAGAATAGCCAAGATATGGAAACAATTTAAATGCCCCAGGACAGATGAGCAGTTCAAGAAGATGTGATACATATAAACAAAGGAATATTACTCAGCAATCAAAAAAGATAAACTTATGCCATTTTTGGCAACATGGATGGAACTTGAAGGGATAATGCTAAGTGAAATAAACAGGAGAAAAAATAAATACTGAGTGGTGTCACTAATATGTGGAATATAAATTAACTAAATTAATAGTCATGTCAAGACAAGCTTAAAAACTAACCCTGAGAGCTGACTATAGAACTGAAGCACCAAGTTGGGGAGGGCATGGGTGGCCATAACTCGCTCTCTGCAGCAGCTCAGCAGCAGCAGCAGCAGCAGTTGGCAGGAGGGAGCAGCACAACCTCTCAAAGCCATTGATGGGTCAAGCTCCCCAGGGGCAGATGGAACAGTGGAAACCTGCCCTGTGTGTCCTCATGCCCTGAGCCAAATCAAACCCTGGATCAGTATCTGTCCCCACAGCCCTGAGCCAATGCTTCTGAACTTCGGGGCTCTGACTGTGCTTCAGGCTGCTCAGGTGAGACTGGGTCCTCAGCTGATACTGTGAGTGAGCTGAGCAGGCTTGGAGGGTGAAAGGAACCTGCAGCCTGAGCAGTAACAGAACCCCCGTTGTTCACCTGGACCCACCATTTCCAGCTGCCAGGTAATTCCTGGCAGGGCTCAGGGTCACAGCCTCTGGACCTGCCCTTTGCCAACCAACCCGCCCCCCGGCCCCCAGCTCGAGCAAGAAGCAGATATTTCTAAGCCAGAAATCTCGGTGGGAGCTGACCACCCCCATCTGAGTTGGGTCAGAGGGTGTCCCCACAGCATGGGGCGACCGTGGCAGGCAGCACGGCGTGAGGGACACACACCCCGGGTCGTGCTGCTGGCGACACTCTTGACAGTGAGGGAGGGGGCTGTGCCCTGGCACTAGCAGGCAAGACAGGAGAGCAGCAGACACGGGGAAGAGGGACCCCACTGGCCGAGCTTTACTGCATCCTCCCGCCTGCCAGAGCCGCCCCTGCCTCGGGCCTGCGAGGTGGCCGATGGGCACGCTCAGCTCTCGGGCAAAAATGGAGGGAAACCACGTCCCAGAGTTTTCAGTGTGAGGATGCGAAGACGGACTGTGTCGAGTCTCATGCTCACGATGTTGTGCCGTTTATGATGTCAGTTGACGGTGTCCTGTCATTTTGAGACGCATCAGAGATTGAGGCAGTGACAGTCTATGGGGAGACCTTGAAAAGCCAAAACCTGGGACGGGGTTTCTCACTACAAGTGAAACGGCCTCTCCGGCATTCTACGGGCTGTCGTCAACTGGGTACATTTCAATCTCTAGTAAGTCCTATGAACACACCTCTTGGCAGTAGCTTTCTCGTTAAGGCTGAAAAGCCACTGGGTTCCCTCTGCCGATGGCTGTGGCCTCTGGCTCTGACGCCACAGAGAGCCGCTGTCATGTCACCGGCAGAGCCTCCATAGGCCCTGGCCGGCCTGCGGCTGTGTCCTGAGGAGCCAGAAGCTTTGGGACAGTGACCTGTGGACTCGGCAGAGAGAGCGAGAGCGTGTTTTGGTGCATTTGGTTTTCTTTTGGTTTATTTATTTGTTTACTTGGTTAGTTATTTGTTTTAGCTATTTATTTTATTTTATGTTTTTTTCTTATTTTCCTTTCTTATTTTTTATTTGCTTATATTTTTTCCACTTTTTCTTTTTTATTTTCCTTGTTTTATTATTTGCTTTTTGTTTTTGTCTTTTTATCTTTATTTTTATTTCAGTTTTTAGTTTTTTGATTTTTCTTTTTTGTGTGATCTCCCCCATTTTCCCTTCTGTTGTTATTTCGTTGTTTGTTCTTTCTCCCTCTTTGGTTTTTTTTTTTTTTTTAGTTTCTAATTGTTGTTTGTTCTATTTGTCTTTGTTGCTGTTCTGTTTTATTATTAAATTTAGTGGTTAGTTTGTAATTGGTTTGTATCATTTTTTTTTAAAGATTTTTTATCTATACAAGCACTGGGTACAGTCAGAAGTGCAGGACGGTGAGAGAATTAACCAGAGCCAGAGTGGGGAACAGAACAGGCAGATGGACGAAATACACTGCTGAGGGGAGCAGCCAGTGCAGCAGGAGAGGTCTGCGCGCCATGTGGGACCCTCCTTCGGTGGCCGGGGATTGAACAGTGCTGCAGAGGCTGTGGACAGCCTCGCAAACCAGCGCTCAACCGCTGCGCCACTAGAGGAGGCCCTCTTTGTATCATATTTTTACATTTTTATCTTATTTGTAATTTTTTTGTTCGTGTATTTTCATTTATTGTTAGTGTAGTTAGTACTGCTAGTAAGGTAGTGAAGTTAGTATTGCCGGTAGAGTTATTAGCACTGTTAGTATTTAGTGAGGTTAGTATTTTTTGAATACTATTAGTACTATTAATACTAGATTAATTGTACATTTGTTACTATCGTAGGCGAGTCAGTTGTCAGCCGAGGTAGCGCAAGGGCTGTGCGCCCAGCCAGGGCTGGTGAGTGTAGTCAGCACCGTCCAAGCCCAAGCTCGCTGTGCTTAAGCACCACACTCCCCAGGGACGTAAAGCAAAAACCTTCCCAGTGCTGCAGGAGCTGGGGTAGGGCGCCCAGGCCAAGGTGACGCTGGCGCTTCCCGCCCTCACGGGCACCAAGGTGGCCATCAAGGGCGTCCGGAAGTCCGACCTGCCCAACCTCCGGCTCCTGGCCCGCGAGATGGGGTGCATGGAGGCCCTTCACCACCCGAACATCGTGGAGCTATTCCAGGTGGTGGACACCCGGGAGGAGCTGCAGCTCATGATGGAGTACGTGGAGGGGGAAGACCTGCAGGACTCCCTGAGCGAGCGTGGGCGCCTGGTGGAGGGCGAGGCCCGCCAGCTGTTTCAGCAGATCCTATCTTCAGCAGATCCACACCAAAGGCATCGCCCACCGGGATGTGAAGCCCAGAACATGCTGCTGACCCGAGAGGGAACAGTAAAGCTGGTGGACTTCAGGCTCAGCGTCCAGGGCTTCCGCAAGGCTTTGAGCTCATGCTGCTGTCGCCCAGAGTACCTGAAGTCTACCTTCGCCAGAGGTACAACGGCCCCAGGGTGGACGTGTGGAGCCTGGGCGTCATGCTCTACCAGATGGTCACCGGCACACTGCCCTTCATTCACGGGGACCAGCCCCGGCAGATCAGGGACCATGTCCTGGGCGGGTACATCCACATGCCCTCCTACCTCTCGGTCGAGTGCCGGGACCTGCTAACCAAAGTGCTGGCACTAGACCCCTGGAGACGCAGCACCCTGGAGAGCATCAAGCAGCACCCCTGGGTGGAAGGAGGACCCTGCCCTTCAGCGAGCTGTCCCTCGGCCACCAGGACCCGGCCATAATCAAAGCGATGGAGCGCCTGGGCCACCAGAGGCAAGACATTCGAGAGGCCATTGAGGCGAAAAAGTACAAAGAGGTCATGGGCACCTACCTGATCCTCTGCTCCAGGAGGCAGGAGGGGGAGGAGGACCCCGAGGAGGAGGAGGAGGTGTGGCTGAGGCATGTCACCTTTTGTGAGTCCTTCCCTCACACTGTGCCCTATGGTGACCCCGATTCCAAGGACTGCCCCCCGCAGCCTGAGGTTTTGGGGAATACCCAGAGGCCAGGTATCCTGCGAAAAGAGGCAGTCCAAAAGAAGGGAGAGGATGCCACCCGGGGGAACAAGGTCATCTCTGCCAGAGTCCCTGAGCTGGAGGACGCCCAGGAGCACACCACCACCTCCGGGCAGGGCCCCCTCCAGGAGGACGCCCCAGAGAAGAGCAGACCCTAGGTGCTAGGCCTGGTGCTGGAGGATGCCTGGGAGGACGGCAGCACATCCGTTCAGGGCCCCAGCTGGAGGACACCAGGGAGCACAGCAGCACCACTGTGGCAGGCCCCCAGCTGGAGGGGACCAGGAATGCAGGGCCAACATTATCAGTCCAACTCCCCAGCCCTCCAGCACCACCTTAAGATCTTCCCCAAGACGTGGCTGGTGCCATACGAATGCAGTGGCCCCTTCACCAACAATTAGTGGGGTTGAAAATGGTTGCCTTGCAAGCTGTCCTGGTGTGTCAAGCCAAGGCGGGAGGGCCAGAGATAGAATAATAAACCATATCTTGGAATTTTGTCCCTGCTGTGCAGCATTCAAACTGCACAGCAACAAAAACTAAGAATACTGCCACAACAGGCAGAAGTCCCCCCTCCCCCCACCAAAGCACAACCACTCAGTGGCCATGGTGAACAGGAGCACCCCAGGAAAGGTTGAGGCTCTGGAGAGGCTCAGGGGCTGGGCCCAGTCAGAGGGCCCAGGAGCAGCACGAGATGCACAGGACTGCAGCACAGAAGTCTGGGCAGCACCGATGTCCCTGGAGCACAGATGTCCCTGGAGCAGAGCAGGTGAAGGGCCAGGAGGGCAACGGAACTGGTGAAGCACCTGGAGGGGAGCAGAGCTGGTGAAGGTGGTACTGTGGAGGGGTTGGGGAGAGCTGAGCAGGTACAGGGCCCCAGGAGGGGTGTGGGGCTGTGTGGGGGGAGCCACCAGAGGCTCCAGGGCCAGAGGCGGGGAACCCTGGGCCTCTCTCCCCCATCTTAGGCTCTGTCCCCTGAAGGCCTCCCTGCCCCCTTGCTGGGAGAGCCCTGCTGCCGACCCCTGGGCACACGGATGGCACAGAGGCTGCAGGAGCTCTTCCATCTGAGCGGCATTGTCACGGACTGACAGCCTCGGTAGCAAGCCCCCTGGATTTCGCCCCTTTCAACACTGAAATTCCAAGTTGGAGAATCGCTCACCCGCCAGCTAGTGGCGGCTCCTGGGGCCTCCTGGTTTCCTTCTGAGCCCTGTAAAAGCAGGTCTGGGCAGCCCGCCCTGGAGGGATTTCGCTGGCAAAAGAGCATCCTAAACAGGTAACTCTGTGCTTGGGCTTTATTGGCTCTTCTCTTCCACGCAGGTCCCGGATGGCGCGGGAGGCGGCTGCTGATGGACAGACTGGCTCCCCACTGCAGGGGGCACCTCCAGGGGACCTGCTCTGCCTGTGGGGCGCTGGGGCGTGGAGGCATCTCAATGCTCTTTCTCTGCCTGCAGGAGACAGTCAGAAATGGGATTGTTCTGTTAACATGTCTATCCCATGAAACATTAAATCAGTGTTTGACATCGACTGCATTTGCTTCTCATGTATGAATGCACCCACACTTCCAACACATGGGTCATCAGATACCTGGATTTGCTTGAAAATTTTAGAAAGCATTTAGGAAATTTTATAAGTCAGATGGGCCACAGGGTGATACCATGGTGACATGAGATAGTGAAACAGACCTACCAAGGAGTATGTCATTAGGTATTTGCACCATTTTCCTTAGGCACATGTGCACGTCTTGCACTGTGTCTGTGCAAGTATGTGCATGGGAGTCAGTACATGTGTGTGTGCATGTGTGTGGTTCTATAGGTGGGAAGTGTTCATATACCTTCTACCATCAAAAAGACATACAGAGAGCTGTAGAGAATTAGTATCATGGCTTCAAAAGTGGGTCCTCCCTGGTGATGCACTGTGAAGCTATGGGCAGCCTCTGCAGCATGAGTTCGATCCCCAACCAGCCACAGAGCTACCCACAGGGGGCAGCAGATCTCTCCTGTCTCCCTATTTCTGCCTTCAGCAGTGGATTTCATGACATCTGCCTGTTCTGATCCCCAAATGTCTCTGGTGAATCCTCTCAGCCCCTACATCTCTGGCCTGCACCCCATACTTGGATGCATAAATAAAACTAAATCTAAAAAACCCTATACAATTGTGGCTGCGTGATGCTGAAGACACTGATCGAGTGGAGGTGAGGACTAGGCAAGTGGTTCTCAGAGCTGGGGTTGAGGGAGTTGTGGGCCAGAATGAGATACTTTGAGGTCATGGATGTGCAGAGAACATTGGAAGCCATGAGATGGATTAGTTCAGTTAAGGACAGCAAAGCAGAGGAGGAGACGTGCAAGCACATTTGAGAGAAAAACTGGAATGGACATTGGAGTCAGCAACCGAAATGGAAGTGGCCGTAACATGCTCTGCGTGGCAGCTCAGCAGCAGCAGCAGCAGCAGTTGGCAGGAGGGAGCAGCACAACCTCTCAAAGCCATTGATGGGCCAGGCTCCCCAGGGGCAGATGGCCCAGCGGGAAGCCTGCCCTGTGTGTCCTCTTGCCCTGAGCCAAATCAAACCCTCCACTCTTCGGACCTGGGAAAAGAGGCGCTGGAGCAGTATCAGTCCCCACAGCCCTGAGCCAATGCTTCTGAGCTTCGGGGCTCTGACTGTGCTCCAGGCTGCTCAGGTGAGACTGGGTCCTCAGCTGATACTGTGAGTGAGCAGAGCAGGGTTGGAGGGTGAAAGGAACCTGCAGCCTGAGCAGTAACAGAGCCCCCATTGTTCACCTGGACCCACCATTTCCAGCTGCCAGGTAATTCCTGGCAGGGCTCAGGGTCACAGCGTCTGGACCTGCCCTTTGCCAACCAACCCGCCCCCCGGCCCCCAGCTCGAGCAAGAAGCAGATATTTCTAAGCCAGAAATCTCGGTGGGAGCTGACCACCTCCATCTGCCCCCAGCCCCATCTGAGTCAGATCAGAGGGTGTCCCCACAGCATGGGGCGACCGTGGCAGGCACCGCGTGACGGACACACACCCCGGGTCGTGCTGCTGGCGACACTCTTGACAGTGAGGGAGGGGGCTGTGCCCTGGCACTAGCAGGCAAGACAGGAGAGCAGCAGACACGGGGAAGAGGGACCCCACTGGCCGAGCTTTACTGCATCCTCCCGCCTGCCAGAGCCGCCCCTGCCTCGGGCCTGCGAGGTGGCCGATGGGCACGCTCAGCTCTCAGGCAAAAATGGAGGGAAACCACGTCCCAGAGTTTTCAGTGTGAGGATGCGAAGATGGACTGTGTCGAGTCTCATGCTCACGATGTTGTGCCGTTTATGATGTCAGTTGACGGTGTCCTGTCATTTTGAGACGCATCAGAGATTGAGGCAGTGACAGTCTATGGGGAGACCTTGAAAAGCCAAAACCTGGGACGGGGTTTCTCACTACAAGTGAAACGGCCTCTCCGGCATTCTACGGGCTGTCGTCAACTGGGTACACTTCAATCTCTAGTAAGTCCTATGAACACACCTCTTGGCAGTAGCTTTCTCGTTAAGGCTGAAAAGCCACTGGGTTCCCTCTGCCGATGGCTGTGGCCTCTGGCTCTGACGCCACAGAGAGCCGCTGTCATGTCACCGGCAGAGCCTCCATAGGCCCTGGCCGGCCTGCGGCTGTGTCCTGAGGAGCCAGAAGCTTTGGGACAGTGACCTGTGGACTCGGCAGAGAGAGCGAGAGTGTGTTTTGGTGTATTTGGTTTTCGTTTTTTTTTTTTACTTATTTAGTTATTTGTTTTAGCTATTTATTTTAGTTATTTTTATTTCTGTTTTTTATTTTCCTTTATTATTTTATTATTTGCTTATTTTTTTTCTTTTTGTCTTTATTCTTTTAATTTTTTTATTTCCAATCTTTTTTTCATATTTTATCGCAACTATGTTTAAGAATGCCATAATCTTTCCAGTATCAACTGAAAGGAAATATTTTTGTGGATATGTCTTTCAAATTTATATATACTCAAGCATCCATTTCTAAATAGTACTGGAGCCAAATGGATCACTCTACAAAATCAGCACTCAGGTCATGCCAAAATACTATTTGCGCTCATTGTTGGCTCTTTCAAACTGTGCCTTCTGCTTTTTCCTGGATATGAAAACTCATCTGATCTTGCCAGCTATTGAAGGTGTACTCATACAAGACTGAAGACTTTTCATTAAACATTTCAATTAAAATTATATTTCATAGGCATCTTTGAGCACACTATGTTGGATGCAAAATGCAAGGTACTCATGTGATCCTTCTCTGTAAAGTCAGCTCTATACTTTCATATCAGATTTAAGAGTGAATTTCATTTTCATTAGTCTATATAGCACATGCAACTCTCTCCTGTCTTTCATTTCACCAGGTCTTGCATTTGAGTTGCCAAAGTGCTTGTCTCTCTCACTTTTTTGTCAACTGCTACAGATTATGCTTAAAAGCTACTGTGATCTTTTATGCATGAAATTTTTCATTGAAGTAATAAGGAAATAAACAAATGCTTATTAGAAAGTAGATAAATGGACTTCTTGTTCCAGAATATAGATTATGCACTCAGGCTTTTCTCCTACCACCAAAAACATTGAATGATGCATAGAAGAAAACACAGGCAAAATGATGTATGGCATAGGTTTCTGTGATATCTTTGTGGATTCCTCTCCAATAGCCAGAGAAACAAATGTGAATATAAACAATTGGGATTACATCAAAGTAAAAACCTGCACATTTAAAGAAACTATTGCTAAAAGAAAAAGGCACCCTAATAATGAAGTAAATATTTACATAGCATATAGCCAACAAGGGACTGATACCAAGATCTACAAAGACTCATATAACTCAACAAAAATAAAAGCCCAATTTTAAAAAAGTGGGCAAAAGAGTTCAATAGACACTTCTTCAAAGAAGATGAAGAGATGGTCAAGAGGTACATGAAAAAATGCTCACCACTTATCATCCCGAAAATGCAAACCCAAACTACAATGAGATGCCATCACAAACCTGTGAGAATGGCCCATATCACAAAGACCAGAAACAAGTGCTGGTGAGGGTGTGGAGAAAAAGGAGCCCTCTTACTCTTTTGGTAGAAGTAGAGTGGCCCAGCCCCTCTGGAAAACAAGATGGTGATTTCTCAAAATATTAAAAACAGATCTACCGTATGATCCAGCAATTCCACTCATGGCTATCTACCTGCAAAAACACTAATTTGAAGGGTCATATGTATTCCTATGCTGACTGCAGCACTATTTACAATAGCCAAG